TTTTTTTTTTTTTTGTATATTTTCAAGTTTTTTTTTTTTGCTTTATTTATCATATTTTGAGCCAACCCATGCACCCTTTGACTTCTTGGTAATTTAATGATCATTATTGTATATGCTTTCTATGTGGAGAGATAATCATTTCACTTAGTTTTGGCAATTCACTCTCCTCCTTATGGACTTACACATTTCAAATTATATGTTGGTGAAGTAAAATCACACAAGAAAAAAAAAACAAGAAATAGAAAATTATAGCAAAAATAAAGAACACTAGAGTTTAACGTGGGAAAATCCAAAACCATGAAAAAATCATGGAGCCACACCATACCAAAAAAATTCATGATGAAAATTTAGGGCAAATGGTACAGATCTCTCTCTCTCTCTCTCTCTCTCTCTCTCTCTCTCTTTGTTTCTCTTCACTCTTGTACTGTTATCTTACAAGCAAATAAAGAGATACACAAACCACCAAGCGACACAATCCTTCATGAAAAATGAGAAAGAAAACTGTCCACTCCATCTCGCAACCCCAAGTTTGGACCGTCGCGACACTCAACTCTATATCTCCATTCTTCATAGCAGCACCGTAGCATCAAGGACTGGAGCACCACAGTGCCAGCATTTGGAGCTTCGTAGTGCTCTACACACTATATATCTCCAAGAAAACTATATAGTGCTGCAACGCTCGATACACAATATCATAGAGATGTACCTGAAACCAAGCAAGGGGAGGACCTCATGCAACCTGGCCCCCTAACAAGCTCGATTGATGGAATTAAGGTCTGAGGCAGCAGTACAACTTTATTTATTGACATAATCAGATTCCATACAAAATTCACACTCCCCCACTTAAAAAACTAATTGCGATCAATCCTTCTCTCGATTTGTAGCAACCATCATAATCCCTGTAGTATGCCTCATCCATTATTTCATCCTTCATGAAAACGAACTAAAGATATGCATAGCTTCAGTTTATAAACTGTCACCGTTTTCATCTATATGTCTACAGGATTCTTGGTCTTATAAATCTTCTCCAAAAATAACTAACCATTTTCTAAAAGTGATATGATGAAATGATATCAAAATTGGATCTGCTTCGTCCTGACATGAAATATAGTATTTTTGGCTAGATGAATATCACTCATGTTATCACTATACAACTTCTCATTCATTTGCCCCTTACCAAGTTCAATCATGAAACTTTACAACCATATCATCTCTTTGTTAGCCTTAATAATATCAATATACTTAGCTTTTGTAATTAAGAGATCAACAATTTTTTTGTAACTTTTAAACCCAACTCACTACAATCTCTCCCAAAGTGAAGATATAATCAATTCTCTTCTCATATCATCAAGATCTCTATCTAGATCAAAATATACATATCACTGTAGATCAATCCCTACATCTCTAAAATAAAGAGCTTTGTTAATTGATCCTCTCAAGTACCTGAGAATCCATTTAACACCTCTAAATGAAGTCTTTCTTGATTACTCGTAAATTTGCTAACTATTCTCACTTCATATGTTATATTTGGTTTCATATAGATCATAACATACATCAAACTTTTAACTACTGAAGCATATAGAGTCTTCTCCATCTGTTGATGCTCTACTTCGAATTTAGGTGATTGTTCCTTAGATAATTGAAAATGACTACGAAAGTGAGTAAAAACTAGCTTCACCTCACTCGTGATGAATCTCTATAGCACCTTTTCAACATATTCAACTTGAGATAACTTTAGTATACCTATACTTCTATCTCTACTAATTCTCATACTGAGAATTTTTTTATTGAACTCAAAATTTTCATTTCAAACTCCTTTGATAAATCCTCCTTTAGCTCTTTTTTTTTTTATGTCAGATCCTATAATCATCATATCAAACACATACAAGAGTAGTAATATATAAATGTTATAAAAATATTTTAAAAAATAACTATGATATACCTGGCACTTTGTGTATCCATTATCTAACTTAAATTTTTAAAACCTTTTGCGCCTCTGTCTTGGTGCCTACTTCAGCTTGTGTAGGCTCTTTTTAAGCCTACACACTAGATCTTCTTCACCTATGGTTATATATCCATGAGTTTGCATAATGTATAATTCTTCTTTAAGGTCACCATGAAAAAATATTAACTTTACATCCATTTGCTCTAAATGTAAATCTATTAATACTTCTATGCTCAATATAACTCTCACTATATTCAACTTCACTACTAGAGAGAAAAAACGAGTTTAGTTCACTCCATCCCTTCGCTAAAATGTTTAACTGGAAACCTGCCCTTGTAGCACTTGCTACCATCAGTTCTTCTTTCAGCCTATAAACCCACTTATTCAGTAATGCTTTCTTGTCATCTGGTAGCTCTGTTAACTCATAAAATTTAATACAAGTGAATGCATATGATTATTCATGGTTTACTCCCACTTTCACTTATTTGAATATCAACTTGAACGTCCTCATTATAACACTCTAGTTCACCACCATTTATCAGCAATAGATAGCATAAGGAAGAAGAGTGTGACAATCTAAATTTTTGAAAATAATTGAAAATGAAAACAAAAATTTGAATTCTTGTTTGAATTGCAGCACTCGGAGAGAAAGGGAGAAAGATAATTTTTAGCGATCGAATCACTTTGCTACTTTTACAAAAATTATTCAGATCGAGGTAGGTGATTTTAGTCATATCGTTGTTTTCAAAAATTTTAATTTTAACCTCTCCATTTTCGTAAAAGTTGATTTTACTGTATTTTTTCCAGCTTTATTGAACTTTTAAAGCACAACTTTTTATATGTTATCATATTGATTATCTGGACATTTTGACTGCAACATTTATGAATTTTATTAGGTACAATAGAAGTTACTGACTTTATATTATTTATACTGTATAGAAATTTGATATTTTTATTTAAATATATTGTGTTGATTGGAGACTAGCTGACATGTACAACATGATGGGCCAATGGGATTTCTTTTAAATATTATGATTTGGTGTTATTCTTTATAGTTTCATGTGATACTGATTAGAAGTTATAAGAAATTTTCACTCTGCTAACAAGCAAAGTGAAATGGCTTTATTGGTGTTATCTACATATGAATTCTAAAATTATTTATGTTAATATGTAATTGATAAATGAAATTAGATTGCTCAAGTGTTGTGATATTAAGGGTGCATTTGGGACGGCTGCAGCTGTCGGTAAAGTAGGTTGTGAAATTATTGTACAGAAAGTTGCTTCCTGAAGTTGCTTTATAGAAATCATTATATTTTGTTTGGATAGTATAACTGTAGAGCTGCTGTGCTGCTGCAGCATGAGAACTAATTACCTTCATACCCTTATATATATTTAGATGAAATATATAACTTTTTCAAATTTAATTTTTTTTAAAATGTATATGATAATCAATTAACAATTCTAAATAAATAAATAATTCCTTAAAAATAGTAAAAAGCACTTATCAGTTATCACGGTGTCTTGCAAATATATGTTTCATCCAACATGTGGAGGAATTGCTATGCCCATAATTTTTGGACTATAATAAACAGCTCATAAATATAAAAAATATCAAATAATTTCATCTAAAATTAAAATTTGGTTATAATGGCGACGATATTTACGTGTATTTTTAAGATGTATAATGATTTTATTATTAACTTATTTTCATTTGGATTTGAAGGACCGCCTTGCGAGCAATATTAATATGGCCTCGGAACTAGGCGCCGGCTTCGTCACCACCACAACGAAGTCCTATCACCCACCGCCACCGCCCTCCCGCTGGCACCACGACAACTCATCCGTCTCTCCCACCGCCGCCGGCCACTGCATCAGGCTCTAGCTAAAAAAAAATCAAAATTTTTATAATAATTTAAATACTAAATAAATTGGACTGAGAGAATGAGCTGATCATCATCACCTTGATGTTACCAGCCTCTTTGATGGCCTTAACAAGCTTGAGCTAGAGGAGGATTTCATGGCTCCTAAAATGCACGCCGGAGATAGCGCATATGATGACGTCGACCTGCTTGACGGCGTCGATGAGGCTCCGGTGATCGTTGAAAGATCCTTCAACAAGCCGAGCACCCTTATGTTTGAAAGACAGAAGCATCTGAACCTTCTCTATATCGAGTCCGATCTCCGGTCGATTCAGCACGAAGGTTGGGTGTCCTTCGGCTATGCTTGCCTTCACTATTCTTCTTCCAGGTAGCCTGTTCCCCCCACCACAATAACCACCTCGGAACTAGTCGCCGGAGACGGCACTGTGGCCGGCGGAGGAAGCGGAGATGAGGAGTTTGGTTGAATTTTGGTTGAGACAGGATGATGAGGAAAGGTGGGAGAGGAAGTGAAAGGCACTGTAGGGGAGGTTGATGGCGCCAAAAAAGGAGAGAAGGGAGAAGACATCGTCGCCGGCAAAAAAATAGCTTCTATTCTGATCGCACTCTTGCATTGGCATTTACG